AAATAAAATTAAATAAATTTATAATTGTATAAACAACTTATATATTATTTATTTATTCAGATTCAATAACAATGTAAAGTAATAAAATATAACAAATATATTAATTTTTCTTCATTTTATAACATTTTTATGGCCTTGCGCAGCCTTGATGAAAAACACTTGGGTGAACCAATTTTTCCTGGTTGAAATAAAGTATTTATTATTGTTATCATTATTATTATTAGTATTATTATTATTATTTATTCATTGTTAATTGGTTAGAAAACATTTTAATTTTAAAGTAATGTTGAACAATGTAAACAAATTCAAATATAGCATTTTGTTGTCCAAGTTTATTATTAGCACAACACGTGTAGACTTACTTAACGTCTGTTGACAGTCATTTGATGTCATAATATTTTAACTATTCCACATACCTCGAGCTTCATTCACGACCACATCTTGTGATTTATGCGGCTCAACAAATCAAGATGGTTACATCCAATAACTTTAAATTAAAGCCTCAGGAATCACAGAGCAGTTGCTGTTATCTTATACCATGCTTATACTAACATAAACTTAAGTCTCCAGTAAGGAGATGAATAATGAGTGGAATTATCTCCAAATTTAGTACAAGTTAAATCATCATCCAAAACTGTAGTAATCTTTTTCGTAATTCATAAAAGTCAAAACCATATAGAAAATATTTATATAAAAAGTACCATGACCTACAGCATCATCGCAGGACCAGACACAACATGGCTTGTGATTTGAGGTGAGGAATTGCACTCGCACATCATCACTCATCTAAGCTCCTTTTCAGGGGTGTGGAAAATAGAGCACCTTGGAGTTGAAAATCACAACTTCAGGCGAGACTTTTTTTATACCTTGTTTATGTTTGACAAATAAATTGTTTATTGATTTGCAGTCATTATGTAGCTTGGCATTTGGCATTGCTACAGGTTAACACTGTCCCTGGTTAATCTATTATATTGAACCGTCCTTTAATATTTTAGACAGTTTGTCAGCATTTGTGATGAGAACTACATTTTTTTTATTTGCATTGAAATTAACTTGATTGTGCTATTCATCTAGTTAATAGTAGTGTCCTAAAAAAGCATAATTTTTAAAATTAGTAACTGTGTCTAAGTTGTAAAAAAAGAAAACAGGAAAAAGGAACTTGAGAGCCTTTTAAAGTAATTTAGTATACTTCTGTAACCCTTGACGCAGGGTTCCCGAAACGCTGCCCTCAGCGGCGGGTGCGAAGCACAACCCAAAAGTGGAACATGAAATTTGGATATGGTTTTGTAGTCAGATTTGCGAGAAAAACTTCAGCTACCCGTATTTCTCGACTGAGACGTCAGTGGGAGCTGTAATTTGTATGGCAAGGAGATTGAGCAACCCTTCATTCATATTAAGGGAATTTATGCCCAGAAACTTTGTAGTTATTAATATTTTGGTTATAATAGAAAATATTCATTTTTTGGTGACGTCACACTCACATTAGTTAGCATGCATACGTCATAAGCTAGATACGTCACCTTTTCCTGGTACTTTCCCGGCGTGCTTTTATGGATAAACAAACACCACTGCTTTACACATAAGGTACCTCTGCAAATGAATTATTCTTAGTTATTTTTTTTTCTTATTTTAATTTATTTATTCCGAAAGTGTACTTTCTATCACATATAATTCCACTGTCTTAGTTAGGCCTAGTCTTGTGCCTCATCGTCCCCCGCTACACAGTACCCCTGTACATCAGCAGCCCCTTCCTCATACAGTACAGACGTTTGCTAGGTAATAACGTGATTGCACCTTCCTTCCCAGGTGTTCATGTAACATTGACATAATTGTTAGCTAACCAGTTGTGTGTATTTCTTTGTGAAAATGAGTACCGCGGCGTACTCATTTTCACAAAGCATTTGCATCCCCTCTTGGAAAGAGGGATTCGAAATCATTTCACTACCCGACAAACTACAAACTTTATTCATTCATTAGGCCTACATAATAGTTTCATATTGCTGTACTATATACTTCAACATCACTGGCGCATGGTAACAACCAACTGACTGCAGACCTTTTCCGGTCACGCATTACTGTACTCTCCATAACACAGCACCCCCTAGTTCCGTCACCTCTGGATCACAGTCAATATTGTTTATTTTCTCTGATGATTATTGAATTGCACACTATAAACACTGTCATTTTACAAATACTATAGATCACCCACGATTTGGTGGAAGGAACTCATAAGGCAGCTAGAGTAACCCACACATTTTATTATTGAATCATTTAACCAGACTCAACAACATGGGTAATTAACTTTGAAGAGAGATTTTATAGTAATTTAGTTCACTTCTAATAACCCTTGACCTCTGTCATTGTTGATTTTGTGATGATTATTGAATTGTACACTATGTTGGTCAAAAATGTAGTAAACCGCATCAACTATTTATCACATTCATTTTTATGTTCCTTTATTAATTTACAAATTCTACAAATCACCCACGATTTGGTGCCCAAAGGAACTTTAAAGGCAACTAGAATAACCTACGCATTTTGTTGAATCGTTACCAGATTCAACAAAATGAATTCTTTGATGCAAGCACAATTCATCATAACTGTTGGAATGCATAGCAAGTATATAGCGATATTAGAAACAAATTACAATTTAATATTAATAGCGAAAGTTTTTTTTTCTTTGTGTGATTTATTAGGCATCTTCAGCTCCCAAATAAATGAAACATTTAATTATTAGAATTGTAAATGAACTGCATTCCTAACTGGAAGGCAGTTTGCTGTGAAACAGATTTCCCAGCTTAAGTGACATTTTTTTTTCATTATTACATCTATTACTTTTGCATAATATCTAAATGTAAAAACGTAAGTTAATTCTAAAAGGTCTTTGATCTGTGTTACAAAATCTTTCTCATTAATAAAGTCAGCATAAGGCTGTACGTAATCGGAAGGAATAAGAAATGCTTATTTCTCATTGCTGATGGCATTTAATGTATTTAGACATCTCTTTCCAACTTTTTTCTGAGAGGGAAAAAAAATCTGCTTTTCCAATTTGTTTTGTATGCATAATATTAATCTTTATTCTAGCTACTCTTTTTATATATACAGAAGTAGGCCTACAGTGCTGTATTTAGGATAAAGTTTGCAGCATACAATAATATACTAACCAAGTAAAAACATTTTATCTTGTCTAAAGAAAGGAAGAATTGAAGGAAAATATTGTAATATCATTACACCAACGCCTAAATATTATTATATCTTTACGACAACCTCTAAGTCGTTATGCCAACCTCTTCTTTTGTTCCTGAAGGTATCTCCTTTATAGAGTTCAACTGCACTTTGGATTTCTTTTGTGTGTGTGTGAGATAATGAAGAAGAAAGTAATTAAACAGTTTCATGTACTATTGATGATGTAGATACAAGATCAATTTGGTGAATTGTGTGCAGCACAATTTATTGAGTTTTTCCCCATAAAATCTGGAATGGATAATCTGGCCTAGTAATTTAAACTGAAAAAAACAAAACCATCCAAATTCAAAATCCATTGAATTGCTCCAGCAATAATTTGCCTGTAGGCAGATTGCAATGATCATCTTGTTTAGTCAGTGTATGAATTTTATGGGGGTATTGGAGATGATAATCATTGTACTTTAAAGTGCACATACAGATACTTGTAAAATCCTATTCTATGTAATAGCCAATAGGGGAGCATTGTTACATTATGCAAGAATCTACAAAAAAAAAAAAACAGTTTGGCATGGATCCTCTGGAAATTTGATAAGCAAAAGTAAATGCTCGAGTAGTTAAAAATTTTCTCTAAAATATTACCTCATATCTATCATATTCTGGTACCCTCACTTTTCCATTGGTGATAAACATCTATCTATTTTTACACTTATTTCATTATGATGTATTAACGTTATTTATTCTTCAGTATTAAATTTAAATTTTTTTATGCAATGCAATTCAAATTTTAAACATCTGAATTATTCAATGCCAATCATATCTATACCATATTTTAGTATTTCCATCTGAAATTGGAAGGTTGTCAATACCAATATTAGATTATTAATAAGGAAAACGTCATTTGCCTCTAATAAATCCCATTTAAGGGTACTTTGGCCTCAAGGCATCATACAAGCTAATTAATTTAATTTACATTTCACTGAGACTCGCTGCTGTACTGGGTCGGCAGTTATATTAGATAGTAGACAATTTGCCTTTTCCCGTTTTACATCTAATTATTATCTCCAGCAATTGTGAAAGTTGAAAATCCAATATAGTGGTCAAAGTGTTTCGTAAACAAATTTCCAAGTAGTCGCTGATGTGTTAGGGAAAATTAAGGAGAGTGTCTGTGGATTTTTAAGGATTATGTAAGTTAAAGTAAACAGAAGCTGGTGTGTTTGGATTTCAAGATTCCTTTTAATAAATTATTTATAGTGTGTTAATAGAACCATATGCAAAATAGAGTGTGCAGACACCCTTTCCTAAAGCATCTTCTTAAAGTGGGATCATCTGTCTGGTTGAGAAAGGGAATAGCTACTCCAAGGGCAGATCCAAAAAGGTGAATGGCAACATAGAGAGTTTCATCCTAGAACAGGTTTTAAAAAGCAGACAACCACATTCCATTCTTCCTTCATTTACACAAACTAACATTTAATACAATTGTAGTATGGAATTTTGAGGGGGAAAAAAAACCATACTGTCCATATTTAGGATTCGAACCAAAGATCCTCCAGTGAAAGTTTGGGTGCTCTACTAAAAACATCATGAAGTCAAGCTGGCATATATATTATCTATTTCTATAGTGTTACTCGATACTTAATTTGATAGAAATGAAAAGAGGACTAGTTTTGGCAATAAATTTTGCACAGACACTATTAAACCATAATGTTAGCCAAGTACACATTGAAAAGTAGTAAATAATGTTGAATTGATTGATAGATAAATTTGAAATCTTCCTGTATTTTCTGCAAATTAATTCTATATTTTGTTCTTCAATAATAGGAATGTGCAATTGACTTTGAGGCGAGTCTTGTTGCCAAGTTCGACGAACTAGTGGATTTGATCCAAAGGCGTAAAGAAGACCTCATACAGCAGGTGACACGGGAGAAAGAGTTTAAGATGAAGATGGTGAAGAACCACATGACTCAGTGTTCGGCCAAACTGCGGCAGACAACAGGGTTACTAGAGTTCTGCATTGAAGTCATGAAGGAACCAGATGCTGCTGCCTTTCTCTTGGTAAATTTTCCATTTTTATATTAAAACATTTTGGTCTTTCTGGAGTGTAGTTAAAAGTAGGCTGGAGGTTCAGATGCTTGCCTTCCAGTTTCAGGGTCCTGGGTTCAAATCCTGCTACCAAACACAATTCCGCTCTGTAAGTCTCTTAATGAGATTTTGGAAGTACAGTATGTTGAATATCTTGTGTGTATGTGAATACAGTGTTGTCTATTGTATATGGGTTATTCGACTGGTTCATTTTGTTGAATACAATTTTTCGTTGAGTATTATTTTCATTCGACTGGTTCGTAAAATAGACTTCCTTGACAACGAAAATTAACGTAAACAAGAGTGCGTTAATCAGCATTTAGTTATCCACGTGACCAAAACAAACATGGCCGATTGGTCAGTTTAGAAACAACATTTGCGTTAATATAATTTAGATTTCAGAAAGTAAAAATTATAATGTTACCCACATGAAGTCAAAAATTAATTGTAGGCTAACAGAATTCAGAGCATTTTTTTCTTTTTAAACCCATACTGCCACTAGCCGAAGCAATCTTGATTACGCAGCGTGTATTGCGGTAACTATGCAGCCATTTTGTTTCGTCGAGTATTAATAAGTTTTCTATCCGACTGGTCGTTTTCATTAAGTAGGATTTTACCACTGCGCAGGTGGGCGTGGTTTAACGAAGAACGACCAGTCAAATACAGCCTATAGGAAGCTTTCGATTTGTGTGGCGACGCTAGAACGGAATCACTCATGTGTGACCGTCGTACCTGGCGTCCTACGTTCTCTGCATACGTAGATTTGGCTAAATTGTGTTCCAGAATCTACTCAACGAAGTGACCTTAACGTTCTCGCACGCGCTGATGACTTTCTGTCATTACGTTCTACGTCCTACTGTCAAAAGCTCCCTTATGTTTGTCTTGTGAAGAGATTGCCAGCCACTTAGAAAGTCAAGGACCTGGCGTTCTAAACATTTTTTGTCGGACTTATAGAACATGTGATTTAGAAGCAACACATGTGCTATCCATATCAAATATGGTTTTAAACTTTTAAAAAAAGTGCATTCTTAAACCACAAATGAATAAGTAATTAAATGGATTATCATTTTGTTTTTGAAAATAAAGTTGTGTTTATGCTAAAACATTGTCTATGTTTGTCTTGTGAAGGGATTGCCACTTAAAAAGTCAAGGGCCTGGTGTTCAAACATGTTGATATTTTAGAAGCAACAATGGTTTTGAACTTAATAAAGTGCATTTTGTAAATCAAAGATGAATAATTAAATGGATTATAATTTCATTTCTCAAACTAAAGTTGTGATGCTAAACATTGTATACTTGTCTTGTGAAGGGATTGCTACAATAGAAATTCAAAGATCTGGCATTCAAACATTTTTTCTATCATAGAACATGTGATTTAGAAACAACACATGTGCTATCTATATCAAATATGGTTTTAAACTTTAAGTGCACTTTTAAACCACAGATGAATAAGTATTTAAATGGATTATCATTTCGTTTTTGATAATAAAGTTCCGTAAACATACAGAAGAAATTTTGGTTTATGTAATAACCTCCCAACCATGTGCCCTATATCCAAATTATGTGATGCCAGATTTTAAATTTTATTTCACATGCTTTGAAGCTGTCCAAACTATAAATTTTTGTGCGATAAATAACATATTTGCCCATATATGGAATAATCACATAAATTTGACACATAGAATTTGATAATATTGACAGAGTTTTAAGCTACGTTCACATCAAGCCCAGATTCCAGTCCAGAGAAAAAATCATGAAAAATGGGTTCAGTGGTAAATAACACATCACAATTTCACATCGAATTTGTACGATTTCCAATCCGGACTCCAGATCTGGACCGATGGATCAGAGAGCCATTTGTATCTTGAAATCGTACGGTCACTTTTACCAAGTAGATACATTGAAAGCAAATAAAGGAAGGACTAGACATGATTCATACCATGCAGTATGTATCCCCAACCATGAATGATCGAGAGAGGAATTTTACTGATGTGAGTTAGCCAAATTTTTGCACATTTCGTAGAATGAAGGAAATTTTAAAAAAAAGTTGGTGAGGGACAGAAAATAGTTGCATGAGGGGACGAGTAAAGAGTAATATTTTTTATTTGGCCAAACAAGATATCAAAATGAACTGGAATCATATAGATAATAATTACTCTTCTCTTAATTTGAAAGAGCTAATTAGATTAGTATGTGGTATGGCTATTTAGACTGTATCTGATTTCAGGTTTTTGATTGATTGGATATCAAGTCAATTTATGTACTATGAAATAGCTATTGAAAGGAAATTAATCGTTTAATGTAATTTAATTAATGAAAACAATGGTAGAGAGTTACCATCAATGAACTGTGCATAAAAGCAGATTTGATTAGATGTCGAATTCGGACATCATCCCGGTTAATTGCACTATCATGCATCCACACTACAGTATAATTCCATGATTGTAGGTTGACTAATCAATTAATGAGAGATGTTAGAGGAGCTGCAGACATTGATGGACATGTTCAAAATTAGCGCCATGAGTTCAGAGCTGCTATGAGTAGGTAAGAGTTCTCTCTGCGCTCCCCGAATCGTCCTACGACTTTTTGCTGAAAAACAACATAGTGGGAGAGGGGCTTAACACAGGATTATACAGGACGCCACATAATTCTTGCCTTGAGTGTCAAATGCCACGATGCATTATACTGGATTTTCCTCCTACTCACCCATTCAGTTTTTTACTCCCAAAAAAAAAAGATTTTAACAAAAGTAAACTCCTATCCAGACATGCCTAAATATGGTCAAGATGACATCACACCATGTCCATATATAGGTACATCATGGCTATATATGAAAATATAGAAGTTTTTTATCAAAGAAAATTTGATAATCTGTACAGAGCTTTATGGTAATTAAAATAAAAAAAGAACAAGTTTAAAATGCTAAATTGAAGGCAGGCAAAATCACAAAATATCACAGCAAGGAAAGACACAATGAGCAAGTTAAAATTTTTTTTATTGAAAACAGGCAGTAAAGTAAAGACATGAAGAAAAAAAATGAGTAATTTGCAAATCGGTATCATGCAACACATGATAAAGTTTAGAAGATGTTAATTAGAACAGATTGGATGCTCGTTTATGGATGTAATAAAGATGTCATATATACATCATGGAAGTAATAAAGATGTCATTCGCATCAATCTTCGGTTATCATGGATGCTGTGGTTCATTACAAGAACCTGATTCTGTATCTAATTAATGTGAAGGAGTTTAAACTTGGCCTTGTCATCTGCCTCACTTAACTCCTAATATTTGGTGCTGGTGTCTACTCATTTTCTTGACATTTTTTTTGCAACTCCCAAATCTATTTGTTAAAAAATAAATATATTTGATCGTTTTTGTACTGTACTGTAGTTCTGTAACAGCATAAACTACCTTTCTATAACAGACGGCAGTGAATAGATACCAGTATCCTCCTTGGTAAAACTGATTTGACTGGTCTTGTGTGTGTATGAATGAAGTAGAGGTATTGTCTGTTTGACTTGTGAAGGGATTGCCATTTACAAAGTCAAAGACCTGTCATTCATTTTTTTTCTGCCTTTGAAGAACATGTTAAATTTAGAAGTAACAAATGTATTATCCATGTAAATATGGTTGTAAACTTAATAAAGTGAATTTTTTAAACCACAGATGGATGAATAAATAATTTAATGGATTACTATCATTTTCATTTAGGAAAATATTAAAAACGTTGAAGAAATCTTCTTAGTTTGGCTTATATCACCTATGTTCAAATTATGTGACGGCAGATTTTAATTTTATATATCTTTCATATTAAATTTGCCAATTAATTAAATAACAGACTGCGTTGATTACATAACCTCCTTGATGGAGGTAAACTGATTTGACTTAAGTGTTTAAAAGTGCAACATACTAGGTCATTATTTACTGATGCAGCATCCATAAAAAATAGACAAAAAATAATAATCTTTGTTTATAATAATAATAATATTTATATGGCATTTATTGTTTCTATACTAATACTCTCAATGGATAAATTAAGCTATTTTTAGCATTACTGTAGATGATTGTAAACATTTTAGACCTTCCGCCATTAAACATCATTAATGTTGTCTATATCGGGATTAAGCTTTAAGTCGCTCGTATCGCCATGGAGATCAGAAATGATGAGACTCCCTGTTTATGACTCATATGGAGTCAGAGTGTTGTCAACTAGGTGAAAATTTGCCGAGTAAATTGTATAACAGCTTTTTTTTTATTTTAAGAAGAAATTGATTTTGACAAATGTAAAGATACATCACAGAAGTTTAGTAAATCAGAACTTCAGGATTGTGACATTGCATTTTATCTGAGAAAAATAAAACATTAAAAAATGAAACTTTATTCTTATAAGACATGAAGTATTTTACAATTTTTTAATCTAAATAATTGCTTCAATTGTTTTCACGGTTACTGCAGCAGTACAGTATTAATATTTCATGCAATTATTATTTTATATTGTAAATAATTGTTTATTTTTAAATTTTATTGTGTAAATTAAATTAATTTTATTTATTTGGTATTGTTTTTGTTATTGTAAGGTGTCTGAATAGAACTGAAAATTTAATTATCCATAAATAATAGTAATAATAATGTGCTTCATATTATAAAAAAACAGATTTAATATTATTTGTTTTTATTTTATTATTGTGTAAAGTAATTGTTGTTTTCATTATTCTTATTTATTTGATATCGTTTTTGTTTGTAAAATATCTTAAGTGAACTGAAAATTTATTTATACAAAAAAAAAAGGCTTACAAAAACGGTTGAAGCGCTATGAATGAGCAGGATCACCTTGAGAGCTTATCATTAAGTGAACAAGTATAAAATTTTACCTTGTGTATTATCTCATTTTCACCACAGATCATGTGTTATTGATATCATTATAAAATAGTTGTATTTTTTATTAGGGCATTAATAGGCATACTAAAAGACCACAGTGGTGTATTGATATCACAAACAAACTTGTCAATGTAGATCTTTACTTGTGTCGTTCGCTTGATAATTAGATTATTTACCATAGAAACATCCCTTTAAATTGTCCACACGATCAAATTTTCTTTGACAAAAAGCTGTTGTATGCCCATATTCATGATGTGATGTCATCATGACCATAAGGCATGTCACATTGTTTTTCAGATAAAATTTGATAGTCTGGACAGGGCTTTATAGAATTGAAAGCTAGGGAAAAATTACTAACTGTAGGCCTAAGGATGTCAGAACAACATACCATACCGTTCTGCACTTGGCTGGGTAAATATACAGCACTTCAACCCAGACAACTTCCAGAGGCCTTGGACCCTGCTAGAGTCCCTCTGACCAAACAGTATGTGGAGAAATAGAAAGCTGAATATTGCATAGCATACATAACATCTGGAATGGCTAACGGCGTAGTAGCTTCTTTTTGGTTAAAAAAATAATGAAGCCGTCCTCCCTGCTTCTCTGTTAAAGAATCGACTAGCTGTGCTCTGGTCTGACGTTATCAACAACAAAATATGATATTAAATGAAAACATTGTTATAACTAACTCAGTCTTAAACATGGGATTGAGAATACTTGGAGCAGGGGTATATCAAAGCTACGTGAAAGTACAACCCATCCCAGACGTCAACCTGTAGATTTACATCAACACTGGTTGCAGGCCTGCAATTTTTTTCATTTTTAAAAGTAAAAACGTGAAATTTCTAATGGTATGCAGAGGAAGGAAAAACTGAAATGCTTTCACATACCTCTTTGCACTTAAAGCGCACCTTGGGGTTTTTTCAGTACTCTGGTAATGTTCTCATTTCTAAAGTCTAACACTGCAGCACAAATGTATTTTGTTTTACAACACACCTATTGTTTAATATAGTATTATCTTCATTCATTCTGTTTGTCATTAATATTATGATCTTTCCTTCAAATCGTAACATTTTTACCCATTATTATTGAGTTTTTTAATGTCAATTTTTAAAATCAAATTTGAACATCATGTATGTATTTTTAATAGATTTTAATATAAAAATTCTTGCCATTCAGAAAAATATACTTCAATATCATCGAAATTGTAATAATCTTGTCTTTAAACTCAGTGAACTTTTTACATCATCTATAAGATGCTGGATTCTGACAGTAAATGCATAGCAGCTTAAAGCTGTATTTCCGTCCAATCTTCTTTCCATTTAAATCACCAATCAGTCAGTGATATTCACTTGGTGATATTAATTGAGGATGACCATCGCAAGATTAACTTTTTTTTCTTAGTCTCTCTCTGCTGCATTTATATAACACATTATGGCCTACATGAGTCTGTAGGGGCCTCTTATTTGAAGGTCTAAGTCGAAATATGGAAGAATATTGGACTGGCATAATGTTGTGCATAGAAATTTCGACTGCAACTGGAAATAACAATGATATTACAGCCAATCATAAATAGAGCTTAAAAGGATGTTTGTAATTTTATAGACATGAAACTTAAGAAAAGAAATCTGTTTCTAGAAAAAGCTAATTTTATGAACATACTTTTCCAGGTGGTCTAAGTGCAGAGATAACAGGTGATGATGAAACAAGTTTGTTTCATGCGCCATTTAATATGATCTTATGTATTATATTGCTTGAAGTTGAAAGTTTGTGAAATTTATGCTAAAATTACATTAACAATTTCCATTAAAATAGAATATTTCTGCTTTTTAGATGAGAGAGTCCTGTATGATATTTTGAAGTGAGCAATTTTTATTACATTAAAAAAATAACTAGTTTATATATTGCTGACAGGAATGCAATTAGAGTATTTTTAGAAATTGGTTGGTGTTACTATAGGCACATAACTCAAATTTAATATAATTGTAATATGAAATTCAAATTAGATATTAAATCTATGTTGTAATATTCAAAATAAAATTAAATATAAATTTTTAGTTAGTAAAATTTATTAATTTGTAGTTTAAAAAATAACTTGTTTTTGCTGACAGAATGCGATTAAGTATTCAGATATGTGTTGGTTATAGGCATATAAATAAAATGTAATATAATTTTAATATGAAATTCAACTTAAATATAAATCTATGTTGTATTAAGAATAAAATGAAATATAATTTTTAAGAATAGTAAAATTTGTTAATTTGAAGTTAATAAAATTTATTTATATATTTGTAAATGTTCAATCTTTGTAAATGCACCATTCTCATGTGCCACTGTTTTAAAAGTGTAGATTCGAATAATGATTATTATTATAATTAGTAGTAGTAGTAGTAGTACAAAATTATAGGACAATAAAAGTATAATTAATATCTTATTTTATATAACCAGAGTATTGTAATTGAACTTATTAATAACACAGTAGCAACATTACTTCTTACTTCTTTTTTTTTTTTTTATCTATCGGAGCTTCCTTTAATTATGCTACAAGATGTGTTGAGAGACAAGTTATGTTAAGTCGATTGATTACCAGATGATCCATAGCTTTGCAATTACCGGACAACGATGAGTTTTTTCGTCCCGGCAATTTAAATTGCGGTGGACTTGAGTCTGCATGATTTATAAACGACGACTTGCACAGCACACATGTATTGATCGGTGGTTTTATACAGCTGATGTCATGTCTATGTTTTAAGTTTACCGTGTACATTCTTTATAGCAAAAAGTAGGGTCATCTCAAAGCACTTGTTATGTCAGATTGACTCAGAGCTTTACACTCTCCATCATAACTCTTGTGTACATTTATTATATTTCTGTACTAACTTCTTAAATATTCTGTAGTTAGCTTTTTGTTCAGTTAATTGTTCCATTTTATGGTATTTTATTTGAATAAATCATTATTTATTACTTGTTATTTTGGATAAACTTAGATCTCTCCATTCCCTATCAAAACTGTTGTCTACATTTATCTGTATACATACACTTTGTAAATATTCCGTAGTAACTTCTTCTAATTAATTGTTCTGTTTTATTGTAACTTATTTGAATAAAACATTATTAATTACTGGTTATAATCCCAGGTGGAAATTGCTTTGATTGGATTCATTCATATCTTTGATGATGATTTATAAATACTGCACTTATTTACATATTTTTGCATAAATTATCAATGTTTAAATATTCATAAGTAATTGTTTTTGTCTTCTGTTTAGTTTTCTGGCACACTAAATCAACGAATTGGCAACATTGAAGCATCATGGGACAAAGAGATGATACTACATGGCCGAGTGACCCCAGAATTTGACCTCACTCTAGACAGTGAACCGGCAGTTCAAGCACTGGCGATGCTAAACTTTAAAGAAATGAAAGGTAATTTAATTTGTATTTTCCACCAACGTTACAAATGCATTTCAACATTTAATGTTCTTTTACTAGACAATTCTTGGTCTAGTAGTCAGTTTTAATTTTCTTGAGGAATCTGTATTGTTCCATCTGTATTTTGCCATGAACTTCTACAACCCATCGGCTGTCTTTTCATCTAATGATTTTGACCCTTGTAATTTGAATGTTAATGATGAGTATCGTGTATCAGCATTCTGATTAATTCACTGTCAGTCTTCTTGTTGTCATTGAAATTTTCATGAGAAATTATAATATCATGGGTTTTTGTACTCTTCAATATTCTCAAAATAATCTTGTTGCACCAAATTGATATTAATTTATAATATAAATATTGGTTTTATAATGCCCACATAGATAGGATGCCTGATCATTTAACAAAAAATTAAAACGGACTCAAAATAAAATATTTTTACATTATTTGTATTAATAATTTTCCTAAACTGCTTGAAATTTAATTCCATATTTTTTGCATTAATTTAAAACAATTTACTGTAAATTTAAATTTATAGTTTATTAGTTTAACAAATATTATAATTTAACTTCATACATGAACCTTTTAAGGCTTTTTTATGAGAAGAATTTAATTGATTTTGTCATTTAATGTGTATATAATGCTAATTCTTTAGAATCTTACAAGTATTATATAGGTACTTAAAAGTAGGTTATCCAACAGACAAAACAGAATAAAATTGATTAACATTTAAGGAGCATTTATATCACCTCACATATTCATGGCAAAAAATTTGTTTGAAATAAATAAATAAATAAATTACCTTGCATTCATTCTTTGTTATACCTGTTAAAACACAAACATCGCTAGCTCTCTGTCGTGTGATTTTTCACTATTTCACGATCGCTGATTGTTAGGTTTGACGTGACTAAAGGCGTAATACAACTTTAAGGAGGACGCTCTATAGTAACCATAGCAACTTAAAACAAAGTTAATAAATAAATTGATTCAAATGTTAACAGACCTCGTTGCACGCAGGAAATGAGTGTTCTATGCACGTTAATGACCATACTAAATGTCCAATGAACTTCAAAAAACAGATTTCAGCAGATGTTTATTAATTCCATAATTTTTCACGCTGAGATTCAAGATTTCCTGATACAGTACATTGGAATACTTATATGCCTGGTTGACGTCTTTATTGCTAATTCCTTTTGTTTGCAAATTAATTTTTTCCAAATATGAACTACTTTAATGTGATAGAAGTGCCATTGCCAGCTTAAATGTGAAGCCTTGTGGTTTCATCCCAGTGGGGTCATTCCGTGACCCCCTTCCGCGGAGACTGTCAGTTCCAGAATTAGTAATCGCAGCGGTGCGTGAGCTAGGAGTTTCGATTTTGTGAATAAATTATCAATCCATCACAGCAATCAAAACAGCTTTGCTATATGATTTTTGATTAAGTGCATCAATTTATTTTGATGTTATTTCAAATGATCTGGGGAATCACACTACTATTTATTTAATTGCGCCCCAACTTTCACATCATTAAACATTTATGATAGACAAACATGTTTACAGTTTAATAGCAGTTTACCATTGTTGATTTACCATGATGCTTAGGTGAAGTACAATATTTCTAAAGAATTAATTATATTTCTTTACACACAATGAAAGTAATTAAATGAATACGTTAAAGGATGACTAATATGTTTCATTATTATTTAATAATTGATTTATTGATTTCATTTGATTGATTAAAAGAAAAGATATCTATAAGATATATGTTTTCATAACTTAAATAGGAAGTGAAATTATTTTCTTGTTTATAAAGAATTAAGGTATGCTAAACAAAATACATTACATTATGAAAACAAAAGTATCTTATAAGTACCAACTTATAAGATTTTTATTTTAATGCACAGGAACAATGCACTGATAACTATTCATTATATACAGTATTCTGTAAATATGAATTCCTATTCTGAGAGTGTTTAAAATCTACTTGCTGTACCTTATTGTGTGACAGTATTTACCTTCAAATACCAGTCTTGGGTTCAAATCTCAAGAATGTCAGGGTTTCTTCTCGAAGTACCTTCAAAAGCTCTGGTATGCTTTTAGGATTTAAAGGTTAAAATAAAATAATGTTGCTGATGCACATTTTAAACTGCGATAGTGTACCTTTCATTTCATCAAACTTATCACTGCCCTGGCTACTTACACTGAGTCCCTAGGAAGTCAGCCTACCTACAAACAAGTGAACCATCCTACTGTATGACTGCTAGTACTAAACAGTGCTAATACTAATGAGTCTGTTATTATCTGTGAATTGATTATAAAATTTAAAATTAATCACAACTACTTAATTTCATCATACAGGTTTATATTTATGTGTTCGTTCATTCATTCTTTTCTTTATATTTGTTTATTCAACGACATAATGAGGATATTATTAACACAGCAACACTGACTTCAATAAGGTCTCAATTCATCCTTTTTTTTCCTTTTTTTTTATTATTATGAGACTTTAATGTTAACTATCCACCAAAGTATACTGTACGTAGTTGGCTGCTTTGGATTGGAGATTTACTGTTTTGTTGGTTTAGAGTAAGATGTTTCATGTATTTTCCATAAATTGAATTCAACAACAGGTTAAAGGTTCACTTCAAAAAGCTGGTTAACCAATTACAGAATTATTACCAAGATGCTCCAAAGCTTTTAATATTGAAAAATAAAATTGGCCAGTAGTATGTTGTAAATCTATCACCACCCGCAATGGGTGCATAATCAAAGTTCATAGTTCAAACACCCTTCTGAGGTCACCTGACCTTGCAGTCGAGCATGTGATTAAATTGTTTTGAAGGCATATTTCTTGCACACCATCCTCTAATGGGATTTCTAACAGACATGGAATTAGACCCCTAGTCTCTAAATTCCTCTTGTTCAAAGCGTTGCCGCGCCGTGTGTAATCAATTAAACTTGAAACGCTTTGATTAGTTACGTTCAAGACACTTGTTTCAGAGTTTAATTACATCCTAGAATATCTGCACTCCCTAATCTCGAAGTATTTAAGCTTCATGTTTACGAATGAGTGTTACATTCTTCGTATATCTCATAGTAAATGCTTAATGATCTTATTTCTAGTGAAATTTGTATTTATATTAAAATGTTTTTTTTTCCTAACAAACATAAAAATATTAATTTTTAAAGTAAAACTCTGCTAATTCATCAGAAATAAATAACTTATTTCTTCCAAAAAGAAATAAATATCAAGATGGCAAAGATATAACCCTAGAATGGATTCACTTCTGTGATGCCTTCTTTGCACATCTGTACATTTGGGCCATCCTCGAATTGAGAACTTGAGAATTCAATGTTGACGTATACGCTGATGAATCTGTGTGACGTACGTTTTAGATACTGTCAAACTATAATCAAAATTTCCCTGTTAGAAAAGGTTTTAGGAAATTTTAAGACAGTTTGTTATTAAGTATAGAGAATTCTATATATTATTAGGCCTATTTATTTCATCTTTCTAGACATAAATCATTTTAGTCAAAGAGGTTTATCTCTACCATTATGATATTTCTAGATTATTCTGACCTACTGTATAAAATAATTGATTTTCTAATGCAAGCGTGTATGAAACCTTTATTAAAAATCTAAAAATCAATAATGGTTGTCATTTGTTATTTGATGAAAATTTAAGCTATTCAAACCTTTCCTCTTTTTCTATCAATACTATATTTGCTTCTGATGATAAAGATGGGCAAAAATATAGAAACCAAGGTAAGGCTTGCATGGATAGCACCCTCTACCATCAACTGAGTTGTGTCTATTCCACCTTACTCACTCCAAAAGTTTGGTTTCTTCTTCAGATATTTGTCGTCGGTTTTTGTAGTTGCATGAGTGAATGTGATTGTCTTTGCTTTATTTTGATTTCAGTGATGTTAAAGATGTGTTTTTATATTTTTTTTTCCATTTATCTCAAAAGCATCTCTAGTTCCACCTCCCCCAAGATACAAGAAGGGTAAACAGAATGTTTGAACAGACATCAGAGAGATGATATTGCATCATTACCATTTAATCCATGTGCTATAATATTGAATCTGTTCTATGCTGACAAAATCAGTGTCCATTAGTCAAAACAGCCTCAATTATCTTTACTTGTGAAACCCCCAGAAATTAAGATTTTGGGTAATTAGCGGCGTGACTAATGTTGTTTTCTGAAAAGCGGAACTTAGAACAGGCACGGACGTTTTATATACAGTATGACAAGTGGTACTTATAGTATTTATATTGTAAACAATATATAGCGTAATGAAAAGCTAATCCAAAATAGTAATGCTAAATGGGACTATCTTGGCTAATGGTTGCAGATGCATTCTACTAGCTACAATGTAAACACAATTAATAATCTACAACCAATCAAGGACAGCATTCACATGATGTTTACATTTGAAGCATGCATAGTAGAATAAATACTGACTGACGCAGTTCATCAGTTTCTGACAGATTCAATTTTACTTGGAAGTGATCTTCATTATAAAATTCAAAAATGATTTAGTTCACCGGAAAGATCATATCATCTCCCCATTGTTTGATTTCTCTTCTTTTTTTTTTTTCAAAATTAGTTTCTTTTTTTATCTAACATAATTGGTCATATATGACCAAGAAATTGATTTTTCATTTTGAGAAAGTTGTTAACCAAACACGATCTGTTTTTAATTCATCAATAACTTTGGTAATCGTGATGGGGAGGGTGATAAAAAAAAAATTTAAAAAATGAGTTTGAGTGCTTTCTTTTGTTGGTATCCAATGATATCCAAGCATCAATCTCAATATTGGCATTACTTATTCCAATGAATATAGTTTCAGAGAAGTCAGTAGAACATAGGTTTCTTATTCAGACTTTTTGAATAGAATAAGGGATCCTAGTCTACTTTGTGAATACTTACCGGAATAAACCGACTATTTGCCTATTTTCTCTCCAAAGAGAACACCCATGAAAAATAATAGAACAGCAAACTCCTAGCGCCAAGCTCAAGCAACCCCACAACCATGCATCGAGGCATCTGATGATGTTGATTAGGTTTTGTTGTTTCTTGTTGTTTCATGTGATATTACAGTTTTTAATCTTTCTTGTAGTTCTCTTACACACCATCTATTAACATCATCTCACTTTCTGTTCAACCTCTTTTGTTTGCACTGTTCGCACTCACCTAACAAAGTGCTTCTGTCAGTATTCCTTATCGTAAGTCGATGACTAATACTAACAAACCGTTACCTTAATTGACTTTTAGTTAATTAGAGGCTTCTAATTAATACTAATATTTTCTCAGCTAATTACATAATGTGGTGAGTCACTAGACTAATATGCCTTGAGTGTTATTAGCATAATTTACCGGAAGACGTTTAGTGCAACACGACACCTTTGTGTCCTAATGCTCAAAATATGAAACAATAGCACACAGAGGTGATTATCATATTAATGGACCGCCATAATGATATTAAAGTAAAAACGTTTTAAAGAATTTACCATTGCAGATCATATACAGTTTATTTTTTATATCATTTAATAAATATATGTAATGTAAATAATAATACCATTTTTATGGTAAATGTATTCTTAAAGTGATTACCAGCTAAGAATACAAATGATATAATTTATGTATGTTAATTGGCAAAATAAAAAATATTTTATTTTTCTTTTGAATTGAATGCTGATAACTAACTTAAAGTAAACAATTCAAATAATAATAATAATAATAATAATGTAATAATAAAAAAAAATTGCACTTAACAAAGAAAGACATTTTGACTCCATCTTTGAATCCATTCAAGTAACGGATTTGAAACGTTCTTTTTGAAGTGTAATTTTTCTATTAATGATTTATTATAAAGCGTACTCTTAATTCGTAATAATAATAGTAGGAATTTATACTTCAATTTTTAATACTTCAATTTTATTGTTCCAGTTTATTATTTCAACACAGAGGCAGTATTTTGTTAATATTACACGATTGTACTTCTTTAAACAAATAAAATTTGAGTACTTACTCAGAAAATGGACGTATTATATTAATTTTATACCTCCGTGTTCAGAACGCTTTAATAATTATCTGGTCTTTTATCAACTAATAAAATATTAATGATTTAAATGTTCATTAAATTAGAAAGAATTACACAAATATTCTTATGTAATCTCTCTTTTCCTTCTTCAATAATTAGAAATAATTCAAATTTTATATATTTTATATCTATATTTATCATGTTTTGAGGTCATAAATAAAATTTTTTAGGTGTTATAAATAGTAATTTTTCAATGTTATATTTTTTGTATGTATTTTTTATACTTTTTCCTTGTTGAAATTTTGTATATAATATTTTTTATATTTTTGTAAATACATTCATGTCAGCTTTTTGCAGCCGTTTGTATATTTTTCTACTCTACCTGAATAAATAAATAAATAAATTTGCAATAGGGAGCATATAAAAGCCTTATGATTGCAAATATATTGTTCAAAATCTAGTTCAAATTCTACCATCCTAGATAATTATCCACGTAGTGATTATCCACGTAACAGAAGCTATGTACAAGTACAAACTTAAAAGGGAACACAGTAACAGGATAAACATGCATTTCTGTTAAGACGTCGTTTGAATAACAATTTCTCAGTATAAGCCATTTGAAAGCCATTTATATGAGTGAAATTCATGTCTTTGTGATTTTTAATAGTCATGGAATATCATAATTAGTACGCCTCGTGTAATATGACAACTGCCGAAGAATGTTATTGTGTTTCGCTTTTAAAGATACATTGTCGGATAAGATGACAAGTTTTAAAAATCCATTTTTAATGTGAAAGCTCATTAAAAACATTGTTATCGTTAGACAGTACTTACACATACACTAATATCAAATCATAGCATAATTTTCATTTTGGTAGACTAAAAATCAATCTGTGTACTCTCTTGAACAACAAACTTCATTATTTAAATTACTTAAACTTTTAAAAGTAATATCTTTTAATGGAAATTTTGAACGAAAAATGTATTTTGCTAATATATTAATGTAAGTAATAGTAATCGTCCCTATATCCTTTGCATAAATTCTTATTAAACATTCTTATTGAATAGCAGGATTTGCATTATACTGTAATACACCAATATACAAACATGTTCTGAAATTGTTAATTTGGTATGACTAAAATTCTTCTATGTTCTCCCTTAAAATTTCTTAATTTTTATGTAAGTTATTATCTTCAATGGAAAATTTGAACGAGTAAATATATTTCACTGAGGAATAACATGTATAAATAATGCCGTTTCTATATTCTTTGCATAAAGTTTTTAAAACGTTCTTATTGAAGAGCAATATTTGCATAAACCAATATCAAATCATGCTGTTATTGTTATTTTGGTAGACTAAATATTCAATATTCTGCCTTCTTTTAAAGTAGGTTATTATCTTCAATGGAAATTTTAAACTAGAAATTTTATTTAGCTTCCAAATTAACAATTGCATAAATAACATTATTATTCTTTGCATAAATTCTTTAAAACATTCTTATTGAAGAGCAGTATTGGCACATACACCTATATCAAATCATGCCTTGTTATTTTGGTAGACGATAATCCTTATATATTTTTTCCCTTGAACAACAAAATTCATTATTTAAATTTCTTACTTTTTAAGTAAGTTATTGCCTTCAAGTAGAAAATGTAATTCCCTTATGAAATAACAATGCATAAATAACGTTGTTCCTATACTCGTTGCATAGACTCTGAATACCCTGTCCAGACATGCCTAAGTATGGTCATTAAGATATCACATCATAACCATATATAGGCACATTATAACTATATATGGGCATACATACAGTTTTTTGTCAAAGGAAATTTGATAGTGTAGACTAAGCTTTAAATTGGCAGGTAATGAATTTAAGGATTTTTATTTTGAAGGGTTTGTAAATCAGCTGACACTGAATTGACAATCTATCTCTTATTGAAAGTAAATAGCTGCAAAACCTTCATCACACATACACCATGCCAGTATTTTTTCTATGACTTGCATAATTATACCTTAATTTTCGTTGAGTAATGTGCATTTGATTTCTTTTAAAAGCCTACAAATTAATAGAAAATATTACATTTCAGTGTATCTGCATTAAATGATTTTTTGAAGCATTAAAACTGAATATAAAATGCATGTCGTTCATGCTTTGAAATGATGAATTAAAGATCATTTCAACAATTCCTAACTTAAATTGAAATTTCCCATTATTTTTTCAAACACAGAACCTCTAACCTTTTAACATTAAGTGGAATTGTATTCCAGCTGGGATTTTAAAAAACGTGTAATTTTCAAATATGAATACATTTTTGCATCAGATTTCCAGAGTCCTAATTTTCCAGTGAAATGTATCATCCTAATTCTTTTTAAATGTCATTTATTGACTGTTCTCAATAGCTGCGGTACTCCTACCATTGGTGAATGACGTACTCTAGAATTAAACGGCACGTATCTGTTATAAATTTCTCGTAGTAAATCATCAGCATTACTTGAGTTTTTCAGAATCATAATGCTGATTTCATGTCCAAGCGGTTTTATCAGAGGGAAGAATTACTCAGTGCGCGATAGAATTGTCAGATTCACTATGTCATGTATGGCAGGTGTAACATAATACGAATTATGAATTGTTAATGTATGCTATAAAAACCTTCTCTGATAGATTGTATGTGTTGGCAGATATGGTTCGGTTCCTCTAATTCTATGAACTACATATTCCATCAAAGATAATTATCAAATTTTCTTTTGTATGCCCAATGGTATGCCTATATATGGTCATGATGTGATGTCATCATGACCATATTTAGGCATGTCATATGTTTTTTTCAAGTAAAATTTGCTAGTCTGGACAGGGCATTGGTTATAAACCATTATTGTGGAAAATCATAAATTAATATTCCTTGAGTTGCTGGCAACAAAAACACCTAAATCTAAATTTGTATGGAATAGAAAATGGGGGTGGAGTTGGATGGAAATATATAGTGTAATCAGGCATTCCTGATTGCTTAGTTCCTTATAGAAAGAAACCTCACTTCATTTTAGATGTTGCTCATTCAATTATTTCTAATCTCTAAGTGCAAAGAACTCAAATCTAAATTTGTTAGAAAAACAAATTATACACAGTATATACTTGTACAGTACTCTCATTTGAACAGTATAATAAGCAAAGTAAAAACATATATTTTATGCAAGATTACAAAATGCAAGTCAATGCAATAAAGAGGACAGAAAAATGATTTAATGTGTGTAATGTTTTGATATGACTTATGAAAATATTTTTCCAGGAAAGCTAATCTGCCAACGTATGTTTAGTTTTTTGTCAATCAAGTATCATAGCTCTTAATATATGCTAACAAAATTAAAACTGTTTTTTTGGAATGTAATATATTTTTATTTTGATTGGTTCTTATATTTTTATTATTATAAATCTTGTTTATCTCTGCAGTACCAGATTCCCCGATCGTAATTACTGAAGAGTGCAGTGTAGAAAATAATAGCGTTACAATTGCCTGGCAGCCACATCCTTCCAGCTGGGTCGAAGGTTATGTGTTGGAAATTGATGATGGCAAAAGTGGTGAATTCAGGGTAAGTTGATGATGGTGGTGATGGTAATAATGGTAGTTATGGTGATGGTAATGAAGTGGATGATGGTTGTGGTTGATGATAATGGTGGTGATGGTAATGATGTTGGTCTATCCTACTCATGGTGGTTATCCTGTTGATGTTGGTTATCCTATTGTTGTTGACGATGGCAATGATGGAGTGATATGTTAATATGATGGTCGGGATGACAATGGTAATGATGATAGTGATGGTAATTATGGTTATGGTATGGTAATGATATTGGTTATCTTAATGATGTTACTGATGGTAATGATGTTGGTAATGATGGTGGTAATGATGGTATGGTAATATGATGGTCATGATGACAATGGTAATGATGTTGGTGATGGTATGGTAATATGATGGTTGAGATGACAATGCTAGTGTTGGTATGATAATATGATGGTCGATGTGACAATGGCAGTGATGTTGGTGCTTGTAATGATGAATGGTGATGGTCTTAATGATGTTGGTGATGGTAATGATGGTGGTGACGGTAATGATGTTGGTGATGGTAATGATTTTGGTGATGCTAATGCTGTTGGTGATGATAATGGTGGTGGTGATAATGGTAATGATTGTATACTGATGTAATTAATATTGGTGATGATAATGATCGTAGAGATGACAGGAAATTTAATGACATTATTTACTCATTGCAGGAAGTTTACTGTGGTAAAGAGACCATCTGTACTGTTGACGGACTGCATTTTGACAGCACATACAATGCACGTATCAAGGCCTACAACCACGCAGGAGAGGGAGATTACAGTGAAACAATCTGCCTACAGACTGCTGAAGGTAAGGATATGATCTATGTGGTTGAGACTCTCATGCACAGCTTAGCTTGTAGATTGGAAGATATTTATTAATTGTTATTAATCTGTGACACATAGTTTTTCATTAAAATTGTTCTGAAGAATTAATTATAAGTGCAGTACTAATTTTTTTTTTAAATGTCAGTTTGTTTACTTAAAATGTCAGAATGAAACTGAATTGGATAAAAAAAAGATGTTTTTAGCATTGTTATGATAAAGTTTTATTCATTTTTTTCTTTCAAGTTGCATGGTTTCAACTTGACCCCAGGACAACCCATGCTGACATCATATTCTCCAATGATAACATGACAGTGACCTGTAGTAGCTATGATGACCGTGTAGTCATGGGCAATGTAGGCTTCTCCAAAGGTGTGCATTACTGGGAGATAACAATCGATCGATATGACAACCATCCCGACCCAGCATTTGGTGTTGCTCGCTATGACACCACTAAGGAATCGATGCTCGGAAAAGATGATAAATCCTGGTCAATGTATATAGATAACAATCGCAGCTGGTTCATACACAAAAATGTTCATTCTGATCGTGCCGAGGGTGGTATATGTGTGGGCTCGGTGATTGGCGTTTTGTTGGATCTCAACAGGAGGACGTTAACCTTCTTTGTGAATGATCAGCGGCAGGGACCAATAGCTTTTAGGGATTTACAAGGCGTATTTTTTCCAGCCATAAGTTTAAATCGCAATGTGCAAGTAACTGTCCACTCAGGATTAGAACTCCCTCCCGATCTCGATACATATTGAGTTTTTTTTTTATGTTTCTTTAAAAAAAAAAAAATATTTGACTTAACTTGTCATTCCAAATTACAATCTGTGAGAGCAGTGCTTCTAAAAATAGTTTATAACTAACATGTTGAAAACTGTTTGGTTGTTTATCATAAGACATCACCATGGCTCCAGTGTTGATGTGGTTTTTTAAATCCTCCTCTGTGTTATGCTAACGGCTTAATATTAAGGCCGGCTTATAGAATAGATAGAATTATCGATTAATCTTCAAATTTGAGTGCCATAAATATAAAGGACAAAGCCTTGCTGTTTGTTATGAGAGCATATATGGTATTTTTTCCACATGTAATATTTTGCTAGGCTGCTAAATAAAGATTGGAAAATTAAATTACCGGTATTACTGTGTTCATTTAATGTTTATAAAAATTTAAAAATTGTCTTAATTATGTAGTTTTATTTCTTGTATATATTTTCTGATACTTTTTAAGTGAGAGCAAGAATTGTACTGTGTTTCATAATGTAAATTCTATTTACTTTGTTATTATGTAATAATTACTACAAATAGTACCGATCTTGTGTAGAAATAAAAATAATATTTGATATTTTATTTTCTTTGTATATAAAACAATACTTAATTCTCAAATGTTTGGGAGAGTATGAAATTTGATCAACATATTTACAATGTAAATATTGTATATTTAGACAGTATAATTTCTTTTATTTATATATTTAATTAATACCATACTTCTACATTTCATTAATCAAAATTTATTATTGCTGTAATATTTTAAAATAATTGATACTGTGTATGTTGGAGGCTGCTATATAAATCCAACAACTTAAACCATTTTTTGGAAAATAAAATTTTGCTTTTTCCCCCCTAAAATATCTTACCATATTATATCACATTTACAGCTTATTGTTATTGTTGCTATTATTAATAATATAATTATTATAATTATTATTGGTATTAGTGATTATTTTTTGTACTACTATTATTATTTTCATTATACTATATGTTATATTACTTTCAAATTATGCTTTATTTTTTCCAATTTTAGAATCTTGTTATGTTAACATGTTCTATTACATTCATATTTAATTAGTTTCAAATTAATTAGAAATTAATTATTAAAATATGCTATAAATGTGAAATGGTCTGCTAATAAAGTCGTGTAAAAATATTATTAGTTTATTACCCAATCTACGCTGGAAAAAAAGATGAGTTAGGGAGGCTTGTTTGCTGGTACCTTGATTTTCAAAGTAAAACACGATTGAGGTAATACAAACAATATCTACTAACTAATATATAATTTTAAAAATGGAGGGGAAAAAAAAATTTTTTTTTCAAAAAAAAAAAGTTTTTCTTCAGAAATATTTTTTTTCAGTACCATAGAAGACATGCATGCAAGGGTGATAAACTAATAAACATTTTTATTTGGCCTAAGCTCTATGTCTAATAATGCACAAAATAGTTAACCTATTATTTGAAATTATTTGCTATTCAGTATTACAATATTAACTAAAAACACTTTTCCATTTTAAATATTTCAACAAGATTGCAATGATTTTAGAATGGAAGAAAATACTATCGGAGATTGAGAATATAAAATAATAGAAATTTGCGTAAAATGAAAAGATTTATTTTATGAAAACCATTATTAATTAATATTATTGAAATAATGTATTTTGATTATGATTGCCATAAAATTTTCCACAAACAAGTGGACATTCTTGATTACATTTTTAATGCGCATTGAACTCTTGTAATATGTTAAGTGGAATGTTAACGACTGGACAAGATGAGACATAGGTATTAGTCATTGATGCTCTATCAGCTAACATACGTAGTTGTAACTGATCTGAGAAATTTTTCAACACACGTGTTGTCTCAAAAACGTACGTGTTTGCGTATGTTTCAACACTGTCGTTTTGTGGTACTTTAGCTACAATCTCCAAGGGGTGGGGCTTTAGTGGAAAGGTCCGTTAAAGAAACTTGAAAATTCCGAAAGAGGAAATCATTATAACAAAATGGTAGATCTGTAAATTTTTAAGTGTCATAAGGGATGTGTGTTTGTTATTGCTGTGCTGATCGTGTTTGCTATTAAAATGTCACAAGTACTGAAAGCAAAAAAAAAAAGTGTGTGTTTCTTGGTTAAATCGTATGTTTTATGGATCTTGGTTTATCTCCAAGTTAACATGCATCATTATCATCATCATTTTGATGTGTTATGTTGAAAAGTCAATAACTTTCATACCATTGTTACTTCCATAGAGTTTATTAGCACCTCGCTGGTATACAGTGTCTTTAAAATATACCCCCAGCAAGCACAAAATGTTCTTACAACGTTCGCAAACGTTGCAGTTAGGTATGTAACAAAATAACGTTTGCACAATGTTGTAAGAATGTTCAAACGTTGTGAGGTTGTGAAATTAGGTTATAAGCATGTACATGTGGTTCTACAAAATAACGTTTTATCCCCAAACTTTAACGTTCTTATAACGGAATATTGTCAGCTGGCCCATTCGTATTTATTTGAATAAATGCCCCATTGTTGTGAAGGGTTTTCTAGCGGAGTTATATTTGAGTGAATTGTTTATTCGAGGGAGGCGTTTCTTTTTTGGTGTAAAATTGATACGTATAGTAGTCAAACAAACGCCCTTTAATTTTACTGAAAATACATAATTACCATAAAACTACAATACATAATTACCATAAAAATGTGTTATATTATGATCATAAAGACATATTGATCCCAATCGGGTTAGGCGAGATTTTTTTTATACTTTGTTTAGTGAATATACCCGCAAATATTGATGATTTTGAATAAAAATAAAAGTTTATTTTTGGCTAATTAGTGTACCCGCTGCTACAAGAAAATGGAAATTTCAGAAAATAAGCATTTTATTATGCCCTCATCTGCCTTGAAATCTCCAAAGATAGGATATGTATATTTCTTCCTAATTATATAAATTTAAAGCATTTAACCATCCCATTACTTCACTGTTTACATTTAACAATAAAATTTTGTTTTATTTTTTCCTCCGTCTTGATGTTTTGGGCAAAAGTATTTGCTAAATAAGAAAACAAATCTTAATCTTTTTTTCGCCCTCATCTGATAATATTTAAAAAAATAAGTTTGCGAAACAAGGAATAAAAAAAGTCCAGCCTTAGAAAAAATATAGTAGAACATTAATAGAATGGAATGCTTCCATTGGATTTGTTTACAGTCATTTAGGGGGTCGTTTATTCAGAGAAAAATATACGCTTTGGGGCGTTTATTTGAGGAAAGCGTTTATTACAAATGAAGCTCTAGAGGGTGCGTTTATTCGTGGAAAATGTTATAAAACATAGGTAGGTCTCTACTGATGATTAAATCTTGATAATAATAGAGGCTGCTATCTACTGTATCATGTATATGAATTAAATACAATTTATTGTACTCAAATAATGACGTCCCAGATATCTTAGCAGATTTCCATTTGTTTGCGCACTAACACCATGGCTCGATTCACGCCGATAGAGAAAATATAACGTATAACAGGCGCCCCAAGTCTTCCAGAAGTCGCGAGAATCTCCCGGAAATCGGGACAGCCTCCTGCACTCCTGCCAGCAACGAAGAACCTCCTGGAAAGAAAACGCATCTGCCGCAAATTCATATTATTTGCATATTTTTACTGCTTCAGTATAAATAATGTCTCACAGAAGTCTGGATGATACATACAACCATGCGCATCAAAATATAAATTACATTATTTCTGTTGAAAGAACATTGAAGTTGACAAACACAAGATAACAGAGAGCAAAAAACAACACTCAGTTGGCCAGCCGGACAGAATTGCCAAGTGAATTGAATCACTGCCTAGAGGCTCTCCGATGCCAATGATAACAAATTAAATATCATAAAATATTCAAGTAAAAATAGGCCTATCAATAAAGTTCAATATATTAAAAAATATAAATGTACAAAATCATCAATAAAATAAATAGTTTAAAAGATAAAAACATTAAAAATACAATAAAAATTGAAATTGAAACTAATGTTTAAAATGTTCAAATACTAGACTCGGAAATATGTTACTGTATCAATTTAATATAAACTAAATACAGTATAAATAAAGGGAAAAGAAGTTTTGAAGCTTCTTTTCTGTAGAAACATTAGCTACCCAATAGGTACAGTCGTATTAAAGAGTTCTCACTATTTCAACCAATCAGGATCATTGTTTCATATCTTTAGGTTCTTTGGTAAAGCATCCATCATGGCGAGTTCCAATCGACGTGTGTTGCCAGTAGATGATTCCAATATTACCTTCGAGACAAGCGAAGATGTTATTGTTACGCCGACATTTGACTCTATGAAAATACGAGAAGATCTTCTTAGGGGAATTTATGCATATGGTAAGATATAAAACATAGAAAACGTAATTAACTCTCGTGAAATGCTAGGCCGTCGCATCTCAAAAATGGATTCGGAATGACCAGAGCAGATAGGGCGACGGCGTCGGTTGGGCTTGCTGACAATAATGCCACTGATGCAGGCCTAGGCTAATAGAATGTGTTTTGAACGAGTGAATTATCTACTGTTCTTTTGATGAATATTGTTGTAATTAAATTGTAGGTAAATATACTTCAATTTTCCATGAAGCTGACGTGTTTGTATTTTGGTTGTGCAATAATTGATTAAAACATTTTTACCTGGTAAATGTGAGGCGTGAATGAATGAATGAATGCCATCCATTTGGGGCGCCAACCAATTCTGCTGCGAGGTATTTAATATCTAGAAAATCTGGAAATTATTAAAGTGTGTTTTGTTTGTATTATTAAAAAGTATTTGTGCTTTTTTAATGTTTACTGTATATATAGCCCTAAATGAAAATGAAATATACTATTATAAATAGTATTACTTTCATTTTAAGTCAATACATATATTTATTATATTGTAATAGTATTAACATATTTGTTGTCATTCAATTAATCAAATTGACAGAAAATGTACAGTACAAAATGTGTTCCATACATTGCAACATAGTTTTTATTTTCCATTTAGGATTTGAGAAACCTTCAGCCATTCAACAGAGAGCAATCAAACCTGTAACGAAAGGCAGAGATGTTATTGCACAGTAACTATACTTTTGATTCAATTCTTGCAGTTATTTTCACTAACATATGTGGCTTTCTCAACAAACTAATATCTAAGCATTTTCATGTTCATTCTTCCATTGAAATTGTCGAACAATATATGTATGGACCACTACACTCCTCGATCTGTCAAATCAATTTAGATAAAACCAAAGATCAAGAAACACAAGACAGACTCTCACATTGCAAAAGTGAAGCAGAAATACATAGTATAGCTTTTACACATCTCCAGACATATCCAGCACCCTTCTCTTTTCCAATAAAAAAATGACATGACAATTTACGTTGAGTTTGTTTAACTCCAGTCGTAAATGGCGCCTTATTTAATAGAGCGCCGCATATAGCTAGTGACAAACAAACAAAGTTACTGTATATTAGTATGGTACACCCAGCATTCATTTTGGTGTCTTGTGTTTCAAATATCTTTGATAAAACATAAAGACACCAGGGTATGTGACTGCCATTTCAAATTCTTTTTGTAATGAAATTGGAAGTGTTGGTCATCAAATTGGGCTTTTTTTTCTCATTATTACTTAATTTTTCCCCCCATATTACTGATTGATTGGTCAGTTTGTGAGAGAGCCACAATAACTAGTATTTTTTCATACCATTAATTGTGAATAGATTGTAACTTTTCTATTTAACCATTCTGCACAGTATTAATATCCATCTACTCAACTGGCTATGATGATTAACTTACACTTCCATGGCAATGACAAGTATCCCATGATGCATTGCTTGATTTCACTTTACTAACTGAGCTAGTTGATCTGGTAATCAATTGGTACCTTTATTTTCAATTTGTAACTATGGTAATAATCTGAATAATCAACACTTTTTGTGAATCACATATGTACACAATGTTTTCAGTCATTTTAATCGTAACTTCAACCGTTGTTTTTCCACATGATTTAACGTCAAAATAAATGTTCCTTGTGTTATCTGTAAAAACGTATGGTAATGTCCTGATAAAAATTAAAGTTGAATCGTGTCTGGTTATTTAATTTCACAGGGCACAGTCTGGTACAGGTAAAACTGCTACGTTCTCCATCAGCATTCTACAGATGCTAGATACGCAAGTGAGGGAGACGCAAGCACTTGTGCTGTCTCCGACGCGTGAATTAGCAGTCCAAATTCAGAAGGTTGGTTCTCTTTCAATTGCTATATTTGATTTTATTCGAGAAAGGCCACCGGCCCATAGAGTAACAATGTTAGAGTGAAGCAACCTAAAGAAACTTATTTAGGTTTTTACTAAAGTAGACTTGAAAACTTCCAAGGTTAACCCAGTTGTGATATTCTCCTCGATACATTAGTCTTTGTAAGTATTCTATGAAGCCCAGTACATAACCTAAAGTATTATATATAAGTAGGTGGCAAGTCGAGTGGCCAATTGGTAAGCCAGTGGCGCCACTAACTACAGCCTTAACATCAGCACTGGTTCAAGTTCCTTGCACATGCTTCGGTTGGTAGAACCAAGTCTTCTCGGATAAGGACTTGAAATTGGATGTCCAGTGTACACTTCTGGCTTGTGTGCACTTTAAAGAACCCATTGCATCTTTTGGAAGAGTAGGGTGTTACCTTGATGCTCTGGTTCATTTCCGCCCCTGTCATTGTGGAATAATGTGAACATGTATCTGCTATAAGCGTCTCTTTACGGTCGCTAGGTAGTCACAGACCACGCCCATACGCAATTCAGCACAATGACGCTAAGAGTTATGGGTTATTCTACCTTCATAAATTTTTGAAAAAATGAAAAACATGAATAATTATTGTTTAAATACTATGATATATTTTTAATCTTGGTATGAACATGACTAATGTCTGCTATAAACGTCTGTTTACGGTCGCTAGGTAGTCACAGACCACGCCCATACGCAATTCAGCACAATGACGCTAAGAGTTAAGGGTTATTCTACCTTTCCCATAATTTTTTTTTTAAATGAATAACATTAATAATGATTGTTTAAATATTATGTTATATTTTTAATCATATGAACATGACTAATGTCAAATTTTAAAATAGAACATCCCTTTTGAGTTGATTTTATTATGTTTATGGTGATTGTTTATTATTTGTTTTTTGACAGGTTGTGTTAGCTTTAGGTGATTACATGAGCGTACAATGCCACGCCTGTATCGGTGGAACAAGCATAGGAGAGGATATTCACAAACTAGACTACGGGCAGCACGTGGTGTCTGGAACCCCTGGCAGAGTTTTTGGTATCCTTAATAATAATTACTATAGTAATAATAGATATAAATTTGTTTCATTTATTTAGAATTTATTGCCAAAAATTATTTTTAAAGGCTAGCCTAGCATTTGAGTTCCTTCAAATAGATGCTGTTGCTGACAGCCCTAGATTTCTACAAACCTTTAAAGATGATTCATAATTTTTTTTTTTAAATCAGTTTTTAACAGTAATGTGGAAGTGTGTGATTTGAAAACTTAGGGGTAGTAAAAGAAATCTATGGCTCGAGACTTAAGAAGGTAGAAGTGATGAGTTACTAATCTTGTGTGCTTTTTAAAAATAATGTGATTTTACAATGTTTGGAAAGTTTATGCTGAAAGAAGCAGCCAGACTCTGGGTGAAAAATATTTTTTGTATGTTGTATAACTGATTTTTCTAAGACATAAAAGTATGTTTGATGAAAAACTGGGGAACGATTAATGAGATACAGATTTTTGAATATTAAAAAACTAGGGGGGAGAAGGTGGTTATGCCCCTTTTCCCCAGTTTTTACGTATTCAAAAACGAAATTTTCTGTTCAAAAACACCCATTTCATGTCTAAGAAAAATCAGTTGTACAACATAGATTTTGTTCTGCGGTGCCTGGCCTTAAAGTGGAAATGAAATCTGTGAGCATGATACCTGGAAAACTGGAGGTGATGAGTTCAATACTACTTCGACACATTTAGTTGAGTACTTAGACTCTTTGTCCATATTTGTCTCTTTCACTTGAGAATATAATGGAATGCAAGTGATGTACTGTTAAATGTGTTGGCACTCTGAATGCACTATGAAATACTCCCCAAAGAGCTAGTATGGAAAAGTCCCCAGTGAGCAATAGAATTTTCACAATGTGCCTGTTTATTTATGTGTCATGAAAACATTTATAGTACATACTAATACAAAATACAGTGTATAGATTTTTAAACATAGATAGAAAATTAAACATCCCAATTATGTGTGTATGTGTTTTTTGTTTTTTTTTGTTTTTTTTTTTTATCTATCCTGTCACTTTTAATTACTTTGTACAAAAGGAGAACTTAGAATAAAATTGTTTCTCCGATTAAAGACCACATTTGGGACTGGAGTTTCTGTGATCTTTAGCTGCTTTGGTCTCAAATTAAGATAAGATAAGATAAAAGACATTCATTAATTTGGACCACAGAACACTGGTCTTTAAATGGCAGTAATCTTTAATTGCAAGGGTTTTTAATTAGAGAGACCTGTATATTATAAGATAAAATGAGCCTCACAAATCAGAATTATTTTTATTTAATAGTGAGTTTCTTCAAAAATATCATGAGCTCAAAAGCTTAGCACTAATTACTTTTCTGGTAAAATCAAATCTATTTTATTGTATGCTACAAAGTCAAACAGAATAAAAAAACATATTGTACACTTTTACAACATGTAGATAATTGGCACTGACTTGTAATATATCTGACGCAAAGATTGCGATGTTTACTTTGTACATACTGTATATTTTTTTACCTTCATCAACAAAATATCAGACATGATCCGAAGGCGACACTTACGAACAAGATCCATCAAGATGCTGATTCTTGATGAGGCCGATGAAATGTTGAATAAAGGTCAGTGATTTGGCGAACTACATTTAATGACAGTGATTGATCAGGTCTCCTCACATATTACCCAGAACTTAGATATAAATAAAGAAAAAGTATGCTTTTGGAACAGGTTTGATGTTCATCTGGATTTAATCAGATATCTGATTTTATATCATTTCTGATACAAAGAAAAATAATAAGATTTTTGTTTCCTCCTGGTTACCTCCATTATCAGATTTCTGATGTTATGCCATTTCTGATGATACAAAGAAAAAAAATTGTATGGTCCTCTCTTTACTTGTAGTTTTTTAGTGGTTTTTTTTACACTTAAGTTCTGTCATTTTTTCCTTTGTATATTTGAAAAATTAGAAATTATTAATATTATTTGTTGTTTTTGTATAAAGTCATATTAGTATTATTTATACTATATTATTAATATTAATTATATTTTATGAAAACAAATGAAATTATTTGAGTATTTCCTATATATTAGCAATATTATTAATATTAATATTGTTACTATCTATATAATTAATATCATTATTTACATCACTGTATTAAAATATTGAAAACAATATAATATTGTCATTTATATTATTGTCATGAATATTGTTATAATTATTTTTGTTATTCTTTGAGCTGTTATTTTCATTATTCTGTATTTTTGCAGGTTTTAAGGAGCAGATCTATGATGTGTACAGGTACTTACCGCCAGCAACACAAGTGGTTCTGTTCAGTGCTACACTGCCTCACGAAATCCTTGAGATGACACACAAGTTCATGACAGACCCAATCAGGATCCTGGTCAAACGGTAGGTTACCAGCTCCTCTCAAAGTTTTTCTCTCTTTTTTGTACTTTCTTATCTTCTGATATGACCTGACACTGCAAACCGGGTCTTGGTCTTGTTGCATCAAAGAACACAAATGTGATAAAATCTCCCATCATCTTTATGTAAAACATACTATCTCCATCAGGATTCGAACCTAAGTTTACCATTCTGATGCTCTACCAACTGAGCTACAAGTTCAAGCTTGTATATTCCCTTAGATAATCTCTTTAAGACACTTTTCTGAAAGGTATTACATAATATATAACATTTTGATATATCACATGGTATCTTTGGTATGCAGGAATTTTAATATTTTTTATTGGTTCAAAAGTACTTTTGGAAAATTTGCTTTTCATTGCTAATGCTACATACATATAGTAAAAAAAAGTAGATTTTACTTAAATTTATGTAATAAATTGAAACAAAAAAAAAAACAGTTAAGGTTTAAACTTATTGCAAATTATTATCAGGTACACAACTAAGAATATTGCACAATTTGATAGTCTAAGCATCCATTAGTATATAGATATAATTAACTTCCTACAGTGATGAGTTAACTTTGGAAGGCATCAAGCAATTCTTCGTAGCTGTTGAACGCGAGGAATGGAAGTTCGACACGCTCTGTGACCTCTACGACACCTTAACCATTACACAGGCTGTTATATTCTGCAACACAAAGAGAAAGGTAGGACATACAATTCAGCAATGAACATAGTGTAGAAATAGATATTAGCCTATGGGAATTGTGGATGCGAATACATTACTGAAATTGCTGTGTTTACCAAGCTATTAGTGTAAGGTGGTATCTAGGTTAGGTGTCATATCTTGTCTGTAAAAAGTTTTAGAGAAGATATTACAAAGAATTATCAGCTTTCTCTAAGAACACTGTCTTGAAGAAGAAAATTTTGTGCTTAATTTTTGGTTATTCTTGGATTGCGTTTTATAAGTGATTATAATTTTTATCCTAAAATTTTGTAAAAATAATCTAAAGTAATTAAAATTCATGATTAGTGTATAAATAAATATTTTATTTGCCCATCTTCCACCCTGCCCCTAACTCACTAAAAAAAATAGGGGTGGAAAAACAAAAAAACTTTAAAGTTTTTTTTCATATGTTTTTTTCTTTAAAAATAAAGAAAAATATAAGTGAATTTATCATTATTTTTGCCAGATGCCCTACAAATTAGTCTAAATTTGTTGTTTGATGTAGGATATTACCATTCTAGGCCTCTGTGGGTTATTTTTATTCCATCTGATGAGTACTTAAAAAAGAAAATAAACTTTTTCCACCCGCCCCTATTTGTCATTTAAAAAAAAAGAAGGGCAAATAAACAATTTATTTTATTTGGCCTAATATGATTGTTTAGTAATATTTCTTGATATTTTATAGTATATTCCACCTAAATTCATTAAATGATTATTCTGGTAATAGATACATGATCAATTATATTATTTTTATTTATTTGAAATAATTTAATAGAGGATGACCCATTAAAGCCTAAATGTCACTCTACGATTTATTTGTTACTCTTGAGAAAAACATGTTTGTATGATGTAATATTTGAACCCAGGACCTGGGATTTGTAGGCAAGGAACCTTGCCATCAAATATACATAAACATACTGTAGTATAGTCTACCATATATATTTATTTGTGCATGTAAAAAAAAGCTTGTGTTACAGTGGCAAAAAATTAATTTGTTTTGAACCATGAAACTAATTTTTTTCTTCAAAAAGCATTTACACGTTAGAATCATATCATAGAGAAGGGACACTAGCTTAGAAATTGTTAGTTGTAAAATCAAAATAAAATAATTATGCGTTGTTTACTACTTTAAAATAGGTTGATTGGCTGACGGAGAAAATGAGGGAAGCAAACTTCACAGTGTCATCGATGCATGGAGACATGCCTCAGAAAGAACGTGACGCCATTATGAAAGAGTTCAGAGCCGGAGCTAGGTAAGAACAATATTTAATAAAAACAAAAGAAAGTCGTTCACCTCATAAGCAAGTGCCTCTTGGGTCCATACCATAAAGATTAGTCAATTTAAGATGGTTATCAAAATATATTTCTTCCTAGCATTTTACAACTTATTTTATGAGCAGGGGTGTTCACAAGTTCAACTAGATAATAAAACTGTAGTATAAATTGATACAAACACTTCTATTTATCTATATTTATATTCTCAATTTAATGACAATGTTGGCTTTTAAAAAATAGATGTGATTTTACTATAATAATAATTTATAGTGTTATATTTATACAACAGTGCCTGCACCAATATTACAATAAAAATTGTTCACATGCTACTCACAATTAAAATCTATGATCTATTGACCAATAATAACTCATAAAAATTATTGAATACAAATAAAAACAGGTAGCATCTTGTGTTGAATAACTATTTTTTTATTTAGAGACACAAGCTTTCGCTAGCTGAAACTAGCATCCTTAATACAGTAAAAATTACTTTGAAGTAATTATTCAGTTTGTGTAAACCTTTGAACTTCATTGTCATACTTCTATAAAGCTCTCTCAAGATTATCAAATTTTATTTGACAAAAAACTGTTGTATGCACATATATAGTCATGATGTGCCCATATATAGTCATGGTGTGATGCAATATGATAGTGTGGGCAGGAGTTTACAGATTGAAGACAATATGTGTGATCAGACTTGGTGTGTGAAAGAGATGCAAGTGGTTTTATGAGATTTTTCTGAAATAAGCACTACAATTTTTTCTCTTATCTTGTTTTAGTCGTGTGTTAATCACAACCGATGTATGGGCTAGGGGCATAGACGTGCAACAAGTGTCTCTGGTTATAAACTACGACTTACCAAACAATCGTGAGTTGTACATCCACAGGTAAGTGAAGTAGTTGTGGTTTTTATCCCTATAATTGAGGCATGCCATCCCAAAACCAACATACTGTTGCTAACTGTTAAACTGAGTAATTGTTGTGCATAGGAATATGGAAATATTGTAATACTTTAGAACATAGAAGCTGTGATACTTTTACTTATACCTATGGTAAGACCCTTTCAGTAAATGACCCTTCTTTTTAAAGCTTATCATCAGTTTTTATTTTTTTGGCCCTTGATGCTGGTTTTAGATGGAATGCCCCAATTATCATTGTCATAATTATCTACTCTATTTTATTCTTGGTTTTGTAAAGGAATTTTCAGTGTCTTAATTCAAGTATTATACTTCAGATACGATCCATTTACTTAAACTGTGTGTATTTGTATTGTGTGGTTTTTATCTCTACACATGTCATAATTATTAATCTTTTTTATTCTTGGTTTTGTAATTAACTTTGAATGTCTTGATTCAAGTAATAGAGTTGAAATCCAGTCCAATTACGTAAACTGTAAATATATGTATGCATGTTTGCTAAATGTCTCCAATAACTCTTGTTCTTAGGATCGGTCGTTCAGGACGTTACGGCAGGAAGGGTGTTGCAATCAATTTTGTGAAGAGCGATGACATCAGGATTTTACGAGATATTGAGCAATACTACAGTACGCAAATTGACGAGATGCCAATGAATGGTAAGATTTTATACAGTGTCTTAAAGCTAAGCTTATCACCGTTGCGAGTTGACTTGACTCAACTAACTGACATCAGTTGACTTCAGCTAGTTGCCGGTAGCGCTCATGTCAACTTTCAATCGCAGCCATGCACATACAAGCAGCTGGGTAGGACTAGTTGCCCAGAGCGCTTATGTTACTTTGCTGTTGATTATATCTACAACTAGCTGACATGCAACGATACTATAATTTAGTACAACTGCAAAAAACTGATTTATTTGTCAGTGGTTAAATTTATTATTATATGTAAGTGTACAGACACTACAATTTTTTTTATACAAGATTTAAAGAAAGGGGATACTGAGTATACAACTGCCAATTCAGATTGGAGATCTCTTTCCTTTTTTCAGTTTCCTCTGCAAGCGCTTGAACATTTACTTGTTTATGTTTAGGTTTATTTCTAAAAGAAGAAAAGCATTATTAAACTTTGAAAGTTTTGATGTATATAATGAATGTTTTGTTCATAAAATTATACTTAGTGTTGCTGTTTCTTTTTATAATTTCTAGTTGCTGATCTGATCTAGATTTTTATGATGTTGTTTACCAGTCTCCCCACAAGTCATCTACCGGTCATTTACCAGTCAACGCAGGTCATCTACTGATCATCCTACTTTAACAACCTAAGATTTCCAAGTTGTTATTAATTTTTTTTGTACATATGTTTAGCAAATATTTTATTTTGCTTTTCTCCACAATTTTACAATCTTGGTACAATATGCTAGACCACAAATTATGTAGGGATTGAACCGTGGTCTATATCCTACCAAATAAACCACTTAAACTGATTATAGTACAGTAACTTGCATAGCATATTTAGGTTTCAATATTTATACACCTTGTTTAGGTAAGGTTTTCATATCAAGGTGTATACTTCCTCTAATATTTGATAAAGGTATGGATGTTCATTAATTTTGACATTATGTACTTACAGAAAGGCATTTTTTTTTCCTGACAGTTCAATTTCCTTTTAATAAACATTAACTGTTAGCATTATTTCCTTTCATGACATAATTGCAGGCAAGAACAAAATTATCTCACGTTTCATTTACTTATGTATCACAACATATTTGGATACTACATTTATAACTTTTTTTTAATAAAAAAAAAGCAGTTTATGCCAATTAATGTTCTTCATGAGTTGAATATGTTCACAGTGAAAAAGCAGCAGTACCTGGTTGAATTTCCTTTTCTGATAAAATTACTGTATGAAAATAATTTGTAGACCCCTTTTCAATTTCATCTTGTACAGTTTTAAAATTAATCTTTTTGTTAGTGAAATGTATGTCATTAATTTCTATAGCCAATTTGGATTTGCATATTGAGGCAGTTTACTGTATCGATATAACTACACACTTAATATACTGTCATTCACCCTGGGGATGGATGCCCTTGTCCATCCCTGGGTTTTGGGTTGATACGACCTTATTAGTTTAAAATGATGGGGGTCAGTTGTGATTATTAATATTAGGGAAATTTCAAAATCACAATGTATAATGTAAGAAAAAAGACCATATTTAATTTAGCTAACTTCCTGGGTTTAACATCCTAAATGCAACATAAAATCAGTTCTGTTTTCTGCACTTAAATTTCAAAATAGTCAGAGCAAAGTGAGTAAATTGTATGTTGTGATTTTGAAAACTCATTGATAGCTTTTGCATCACATTTCAACATCTAGTCATTTTTTTTGTGTGAAATGTGCTGCAATTATAATTGGTGATAGCAGTAAGCAGTTTTTGATAAAATAAACGTGTATGTGAGAGTCTTAAATTATTGTTTGTTTTCCTTTCATAAAATGTGTGCAGTTGCATGAAAATTTTGGATACATGGGGAGCAGCAGAGATCAGCTATGAAATAAAATGTTTGTTTTCTGTACCTCATTTTTTGGGGCTTTCCTGAAATTACTGATATAGTACTACCAGTAATAATATTGTACAATTAATACTGTATACCATTACAATTGATTTGCTTATTTGGAGTTACAACAGGATACGTAATTCAACTGTACATTTTCTAATGTTAATCTAAACAAATAGATTTTTTCTGACCTGATCTTTGATGATAGTTTTGTTTGAACTTTACGTTTTTTGTAATGTGTTATATATTTACTTGACAGCCATGTTATAATCAATTCTCATTAACATGTTCAGGAGGAAAAGTAGTCGGTTATGTTGTCTATGTATTCTACATGCTGCAACAGTCCTAAATGAATAGTATATTTTTATTTATAATTTGACTTTTATAACGTTTAATGTCAACAAGGCATTTAAGCAGATCTAATTATTATCCCCCTGGATCAAACACAGAACACATACTCGGTTCTGACAAGAATTCAGTTTGTAATCAGCACATTGTTTGAATCTACCCGGTACTCTCTTGTACTCGCACCCGAGTGAAGACTAGATACGTAAAGTGTCTTGCCCAAGGGTAAGCAAAATTCACAGCAAGGGATTGGACCTCCGACCTCAATGTTGAGAAGCATAACCAAATCAAGGCTAAATGGCTCCTACATCAGTGGCATATCTAGAATTTTTTGAAGTGGGGGTGCTTGATGATCTGTTGAGGGACGCCAACTCTCAAAAAAATGTGATTTTTAACTACTTGACCATGATTTTTGGGGGAAAGAGTAATACAGTATTTGGAGGGGCATGCAAACCCCCTTCGATACACCACTGTCCTACATTTGTGAACGATTTAAGTATGTCTACTGCAGTGTAATTTGATATTTTTGACTAAACATATTTTGTGGCAAATTGCTACCAAGGACGTTTAACTGAATGTGGGGATGAAGTGAAGGATGGGGAAGGGTTATTTATTGCCATTTTGTTGCAATCCATCTTTTATTCAGCTTCATATTTTCTTATGTATTCCAAGTTGAGATAAAGAAATACATACACTACACAAAACTAAACTATTTCTGTACAATCCAACTGGAATGTACAAACTTTATTGAAAATACTTTCCAAACAAAAAAAAAAAGATAATTTTATATTTTTACACTTTTTAAAGGGTTCAAGTCATTTTCCTGTTGACATTATATACATTTCATATAACACAAACTTCGATAAAAACAACAACATAATGGGTGAAGTTTGATTATGTTTACTTTCAAGTGGATTTTATTATCTTATACTGTGATGTGTTTGGTTTAAAATACATAACATATCTTGCAATACAAATCTTCAGCTGTACAGAAGGATGGTTCAAAAGGAATATTTAGAATGTTTTTCTATATCATGGTTTAAATTCCTGCAAGTTAACAACAAAGTCTGATTTCTGATTTATTCATCATCGTCGTCGTCTTCTTCGACATCTTCCAGATCCTCTGCTGCTTCCATTGCTTCCCTTTGTGCTGCACGCAGAGCTGCCTCCTCCTCTGGGGTTGGATCTTCAGCCTCTGTGATTTCAGGGCCGCTTGGGAATTCCTCTTGGACAGGTGGTGGTGGAGGTGGGCTGTAGTTGTCTGGGGAATACTTGTGGCCATTACCAATGTATACATTCTCAAATTTCCTAGAGATGAAAAAAGAATTTTAGTTGTTTATACACAATAATTGGGTAAAAACTGCTCATAATAACTAACTTGTAGTAACTGTTTTGCTAGTTCGAAATCGCTTCACATTTCCCTTTTCATTTAAACACAATGATAAACAATATGCAACCTCCGTTACTTCCTGTCTGGTAAATCTTACTGAGGTTATCAGAGATGGTCGAAAGGGGGGCCCCAATCGAGACAACACTACTCTGGGGCTGGGGTCTGGGGAAAATGGCCCTGTGAAATTTTTGTTTTCTAAGCGCTCGAAAATAACCTCTAAGGCATTTTGGACAATCAATTTTCTTTCTTTTTTTTTTTAATTTTCCCCTGGTTACATGCTATAAAAAGCTCTATCAACACTACAGATTTGTCCATATATTGGTGTAATATGATATCATCATGCCCATATAAGGATGTAATACCCAAATATGGGTAAATCAGATATTCGCCACAGAAAATTTGACAGTGTGGACAAAGCACTTAAGTAAGCTAGCAAGATTTTCTTACAATTTTTCTTTTGTGATTTTTTTACAACTTGTAATTCTACAGTGTTAACCAGCCACTGCCTTTTCAGACACTTTCTATGCACTTGCATTAATATTCTAATAACATTTTTTAAACCAACTTACTTTTCTGTTCCGAAAGCAAAAGCTCCAGGCCAGAGATTTGATTGGATAATAGCAATCGCATATTGCGGTACCAAAGTAGATGACAAGCGAGCTGTCCATGGAGGGATTGTGTCAATCTCTGCCAAAGAAAGAAATATAAAAAAATCTCTATTAATTCTACACAATCTACAATTGTTGAATAAACCTTGGCGTAAAAATATGATGCAACCATTTTTAGAAGATATTATGATGGTAATGTACCAGATCACTTACCAACATCCTCAGAAATCGGAGTGAGAACGGCTGGTCCAATTTCTGGTTCAGGTTCATCTGGCTCCTCGCGTTCCTCCTCATCCTCCTCATCTTCAAAATCATCCTCTTGTGGTTGTATTGGATTGAACCAAGAACAGCGACCCTAAAGCAGAAAACAAGAATAGATTAGAACTTTGGAGGCAGGAATCAGCCTAAACATGCAACCTATTTATATTACAGTATATCATACACTGCTGAACTATATAATTAGCTATATTTAAAATCATCCACAGAACATGAAAATAGTGCCTCATTTCAGGATTATTAATATTAAGTTGGGTACACTTGGCACTGTCTGCTACGACCATGAAGACCACTCTCGTCGAGCACTTGGAAACCGCACTGGTCAAGTACTCACGCAGTGCAGAGGTGGATTCGTCAGCCGACAGTTGGCTGAAACAATGTGCGCCTGGCTTTAAGTTTGGATCGATAACTTACCTGAGGCAAGATGTGTTGTGCATGATGCACCCAGTTTGATAACGATGGGTCTACCAAGTCTTTCACTGGAATTCCCTCGAAGTCTGGATTTTCAATGAAGGTGTCTCGAGCTGAAAACAACATACATGAATATAAAAGGTAAATTAATGTAAAAAGGCATAAAGGGCACCACCATAATGAAAATAATTTAATCAACTGTAGTGAAACACAAACAAACATACAGTAGTTTATTTTTAGATCATTACTTCCGGGTCCTTCTCTGAACCTCCAGGGTGTTCAGATGACCACTGCCAGCGAGTTCACGTGCAATACAATAGTTGTATGTTGGACAGGTGTGGACGTGAACCATCCTGAGTTAACCCTGTTGGATGTGTGTGAAACCTTATTAAAATATGATTGGACAATAAACATTTCAACAATTACCTCCCTCCTCCTCTTCCTCCTCTTCTTCCTCATCAAACTGATAGTATCCTAGAGGACTGATCTGTGTGCCGGCGGAGATCCTGGCAATCTGAGCCCTCAAATAATTGGTTTCATTTCCAGGGAAAGGTGGGTAGCTAACAATCTGAAGTCAACAAGCATAAGAGAGCAATAAATAAGACTCGACCTTTCATGTTACATAACCCAAAATTAACATACACATTGCAGAGTTTTAGTAACCCTACAATGACCTCTTATGAACTGACAGTGACATCATAAACTTTGAGTTCATAATTAATCCTTTTATTCCTGTTGAAAAAATAAACATCCTTGACTTGGCTGCGATGAAGCAACATGATTGGCAGATCCTTCCATTTACAGCAGTATTTTAACTTTTATCTTAGCAAAATAGCAGTTTTTTTCTGATTTATTTAGGGTTTTTTTAAACAGCTACAAAACAGTGTACAATACAATAAACACAATGTATTACGTGATATACAAGTAAAAGACAATCACAGTCCTAAGAATGATTTGTTTCAAAAGCTGTTTAACACTTACTGGTGCATCTAGCCTGCCTGTCAGGAATTTTATGATCTGTCTGGCACATACGATCTGTGCAGGGGTCACTGGAGGTAGTTTTGTCCAAGGCTTGCCAGCTAAGATTATAATATAACAAACAATTTAATGAATAAAATTAACAAACTAGAAGAAGATCTAAAACACAAAAGTCTTAATGTTAGTGAAAAATATTTTTGCGTGTAAAATCTTTTCAAATACAAATTACACTAAATATTACAATAATTAATTCTTAATCAATTACTATGAAAACTCTTAATTTTTTATAACATGACTTATATCATATTTTAAATGTGATTATTTGTGTAATTGATTAATCAATGCATAAAAACAATCCACAAATTCTTGTAGAAATATATTTATTGATGTTAAAGACAATGAACACAAACAATAATAATCAACGTCAACTCAGTAGACAATTCAAACAAAAACAATTTACAAAAAAATATTATAACGACCAGGCCAAATCACAACATAAACAAAACTGCCTGTCTTAACAAACAGTATAGTCTACGAATACACTAAATCATGCGCGCTTCTGAACTGTTATTTTATGTGTTACTCCATGGCAATCGCTCTACACTCTTAATGATGCTACAGCATCTACAGTGACTTTATATAATTAAATCAATGTAATAAATAACACAATATTTCTTACGTTCATTGGTCACAAAGTAGACCTTCTTATTAGCTCCTGTACGGTTATCTTCCTTGGGTATGATGGGGGGAGGTTTGTAATCTGCTTTGGGTGTGTCATCTTCCTCTTGTTCCTCTGTAAAGCAAACCACAATATAATATTAAAACTTCATTAATAAATAATAAATAATATCCTGAATTAATATAGTGCCCAATGTCAAAAGGACCTTTAAGGTCTGTACATGAACAAAAACCGAAAAAATTTTGAGTTTGAAACAAATATAATCAAAGGAAAGTCAAGCAGTGACTTCCAACAGAAAGAGAAGGTAAATTTTGTATATAAATTTATTAACAGTACAAAGCAATACTGTTTATTATATTATATTATATTAACTAACTATCTGCCACTTCAAAATTAATTTTTCAAATTATGAGGCTAGAGTTGTTTCATTTACTTACCTCCCTCCCCCTCTTCTTCATCTTTCTCTGGGTCGTCTGCCTCATGTTCCTGAAGAGCAAAAACAGAAACAAAAATACATGAAATACATACGAGAAACAATGCAATTTATACAGTTATATTATCGCCAGTATTAATTTATTACTGTCAATATCATTATCATTGAATAATAGCTTATATATAATGTATTTAGCATAGATTTAGGTATACAGGTCTCCCTCCAATTAAAGACCACTTGTGGGACAAGCGTTTCCCCGGTCATTAGCAGCTTTTGTCTCTAATTGGAATAAAGATAAAACACATTTGTTCATTTTGGACCACAGAAGAGTGGTCTTTAATTGGAGGTAGTCTTTAATTCGTCGTTCACATCACAAACTAACACAATAAAAGTAGATTGTGTTAGTTCGTGAAATCACAGTAGCGCGTCAAAACGAGCGCGTATTGGTTGTCAAGCAATTTTGTATTCTTTACCACACAAAAAGTCCTTAACAACAAAAGCGCGTATTTTGACGCGCTTTCTTGATTTCACGAAGTAACACAATCTACTTTGATTGTGTTAGTTTGTGAGCGAAGGGGTCTCTAATTACAGGGAGACCTGTACTATTATTAATAGCAAACACATAAATATAATAACCTGTTAGTTAAGTGACAGTTAATTACTAAAATATACCTATGTTTTTATAATAAACATTTATAAGTTTAATAGAAAAAACAATTTAATTAATCTAAACTAAAAGATCAAAATGATTCCAACCTCCTCTTCTTCCTCTTCCTCTTCTTCCCCCTCCCTGTATTCAACTTCCGCTATGATGTAGTTCTGCTCCGTACCGAGTATCTTTCCCCAGAACCTGCAAGTCTGTAAGGGGTAGTTGTCCACTAGTTGTTTTAGGGCAAGGAAAATACGAATTGATTCCTCTCTGCTGATTCCAATCTGTAAAGCATTAAAAAAAAATGAATAACATTCAACTTCGTACAATGTATATTTTACCATAATAATAATTTTTAATTCTGATTTATTTTAATTGTGCCCTGTAATCCCAATATTAAATATAAATAAACACAAAGTGGTCATTATAATCTATGAGTCACCAACAATGGAACCGTGTTTAATTATTTCACACTTAAATCTAGAAGTGTGTGTTAATAATTACGATGTAAATTCATTGAAGTCATTAACTAAAGATTTACTTACGGCTCCTTGTTCAAAATAGTACATGAGCTCTGGGAGATTTGGCAACGGAGTCTCCACTTCATCCTCTCCACCACCTTCATGTTCATCCTCTTGATTTCTCTGAAGAAAACAAAAAAGCATTAACATTGGTTATTTAATTTTTAATGTGTAGGGGTGTAGGAGTAGGCTGGTTTTGGCCTGGGGGTGGTGCAAAACAGCCTAGGGGTGTGAAAATTGAGAATGTGGAACTAAATACTTATTCCAATGAAAAATTAATGGTCATTTTTAGTATTTTAACCCACTCAGTGGAAGAAAATTGCCACAATTGGGGGTGGGGGAAGGGAGACCACTCCCATGTGATCACTGGGTTTCCAAGTTGACACATGAAAAATCACAATCATTTGAATGATTGTATCTATGACTGAGAAAGAAATATCAAAAGGACAAAATATACATTCATAAAACTACTACAATTCATATTATTTATAGTATAAAATTCACATTAAAATACTGAACATGGTTTGGTGTTCTGTAGTGATAACGTTTTGAACTAATTATTAATCCACCAAAATTTAAAAGGGTATTTCTTTAAGATATTTTGAAAAAATAGAGAGTGTAGAAATGAATTGAATTTCAATAATCTGTTTTTATAGCCTCACCTCAAACAACACTTTTTGTGACTCTGCTATTGCTACTTCTGTAGTCTTGTCCACTTTGTTTAGAATTGTATCAAAATCGCCAGTGAATTTTGACTTTTTAACATCTTTACTGATGTCCTCAATAACATCTGAAAAAAGATTGAATAAATACAACATGGAGCCCACATTAGTCCTACTAAAAGAAAATCCCTGAGGCTTTCATTCTTTCCCACAATCGCATAGCATCATATGTAACTCCCCACCACCCACTTCTCTCTCACATACACACATTTATCAATCAATATTTAATCATTTAATCCTGATGGTTGGCTACATTTGAAACTGTGCAAGATTACCTTACAGTTTCGAAAGTGAGCATAACATTGACACCTACCAACAACATTCACAGGTCGTTCATCAAGTACTTTTGTAAGGACTCTGCTCAAGTGGTCATATCTGTGAAATAATCATAGTGTTAAAAATTAAATTAGCGAAATTAAGAAGCATAATTGAGCAACCACTGTCATAGATAGGAGGCTAGGCTTCAAACCTGTAGCCAGGGGGTTCGAAAGAACTCCCCTTTTCCAGAAATGCCCTTTTAAATTATTATTTAAATGTAATATTTGCATGGAAGTTGTTGAAATTAACTTCAACTATTTGGAATTTGGCATTTTTATTGCCATTTCTGGACATATGAGGTGCTACTATCTTTAAAATTTACCCCAGCCATGGTGGGGCTGAGGTGGGTATGGACTCAAACTTTTGTAAAAAATTAGAATGCCCTTCAAAAATCCTGCCTATGGACTTGGGCTTGGGCTTCAAAGGATCAGGAAATTTTCAACCTCCTTGTCATCATGACCGTAAATACACCAATCAATTTAGCTAGGCCTACTAGGGCATACCAAATTGTAAAATTAAGAAAAAAAATTTTTTTAAACCCTATAGAACTTACAGATTGATGTTTGAGACAGTGCTTGCAGTCAGAAGGTAGGATTTTGCGTTTTTAAATTCCTGTTCTTTCGGTGTGAGGTTCAGAGCCATGTTCAATAATGGAGATCTTGCAGAAGCAACAGAAGCATGTGGTGTACCTGCAGGAGAAGTTGGTTTTGGTGAGTTATTTTTCGGGGTATTATTCATTATTTCTTGAGCAGTGTCGGTGACTGGAACTTGTGTGATTGGGACATCTCTTGGCTGTTCCTCATCAGTGTCAACTACAGCCACAGAAGGCTGAGCCTCAGCTACTTCTGCTGGGCTCGACATCTATCTTTTCTAGCTGCTGAACGCCGCGATACGCGATACGCACACCACTTGATTTTCAGTGACAACTTTCAAGCAAAATTTTTGGGAAAAAACTCAACTTTATTCAATTGCTACCTATAGCCGATAGTGTAAGGTAAATTGATTGCCTAGTGGCCCTTGTATCGGTCGCCTGAAAATCAAGGAACACAACAAAACTAACCCTATACAATACCTAAATCCTGTAAACAATACTCACCTCGTTGCTTGGCATCACAAACAAAATAATTACAGAAGTCCAAAAACCGTGACGTAAACTATTGAGGGCGCCCTTAAAGCCAGGCTCTGCAACCATTATCTCTGCGAATTCGATCCAACTCGGCCACAAATCAACTCGGCCACAGTCAACTCGGGCACAAGTCAACTCGGCCACAAATCAACTCGGCCACAAGTCATTTACTGGTACTACACTTTGAAGGAGTAATTCATCAAGTATAAAATACTAATTCTTTAAGTATTAATATACCTATTGTTATTATTATTGCTGTTATTATTGTTGTCATTGTTGTTATTATTATTGTTGTTTTTATTATCGTTAGTTTTGATATTAATTATTAGTCTTGGCATTAACATTATATATTGTTCAACTTTTTGATATTATTATTATTAGTACAGTACCATATAAATAATAAATAATTTTCGATTTATTATTATTATTATTCTTATTATTATTATTCATTAGTCTTAGTATTATTATTTTAATAATAGTAATTTAAAAAGTTTTTATTGGTTTATTGGTATTTTTCTCATATTATTATTATTAATATTATTGTCGTTGTTGTTGTCACCTCTATTATCGATATTATTACCCTATTATTACTATGTAGGCCTACTATATAAGTATCATTATTATTATTATTACTAATTAGTATTACTATTATTATAAAAATAAACA